TTTTAAACTCGATGAATGCCAATCTAACAAAGCAAGAAGTGTTGCTATTTTCTGAAACCTATTGTTCAACAGTGGACATCCTGGAAGTGGACACTGACCGGAGAGTGGTGCGGGTGGAACCACTGGTCAACATGGGACAGGTGACGGCCATGTTGAATCCACTCGGCTGGACACTGCCTGTCCTTCCAGAACTGGATATGCTAACCGTGGGTATGTCAGAGTTTATTAGAGGTAGTCCCACCTCGGTTGACTCATACGTTGAAGAATGTTAGAATGAGTCAATTTGCTTAAAGCATTGCAAATGACATATTTCACTATATTTTGTTCATTCCCACTACAGATGCAAATGTGATGATTGTGTAAAACTGCCTTGTTTGGCAGGAGTTAATTGATTGTCTTGTGTCTTTTTTCCCTGCAGGTGGCATGATAATGGGCGTGGGCATTGAAACCTCCTCCCACAAGTTTGGCTTATTCCAACACAACTGTGTGGCCTACGAACTGGTCATGGCTGATGGCAGTTTAGTGAGATGCTCTGAGGTACTTCTGCTGTATTTTTCCCTGTTACTATATTAGTAATATTTTCTAAACATAAAATGCTTATGAACCATGATGAGCACCCCCCCATCGGCACATTACTTTGCTCAACACATATCCATGTACATGTATTTTTGTTTTGTTCATGGGATGCATCCCCCCCTAGCTGGTACCGTGACCCCCACTAATGCCTGAAGCTGGTGACGGTGCTGTGTGTCTCGGTCCTGATAATAGTTTTTGGACTAACTCTAAATTACATCTAAAAATTCTTTGTCTTACGTTTTCCCCTTCATGAAGAAAATTCAACAGTTTCATGAACCTAGTGAAAGAAATGCTATTTGGAGTTAATTCTACCTATATTTTTGGATAATCTTGGGTTGAAGGTTAATTGCACTGTGTGAACTAGATTCTGTTCAAATATAGTTTACACTGAACCTTATCTTTATTCTACATTAAGGGTGACAGAGGCCAGTTACTTAAAATAACTGTTCAGTATTGTATTCTCAAGTTATCTCAGATATCAAAGTGATAAAGTCAATTGAATGCACTTGTTTGGAAAAATTACTTAAAATCTTCAAAGTTCGTAGCCCCTTTACACAAGCAAACCTTCAGCACATGGGTCCTAGCAGTTCCAGGATTTATCTCCTAACTGCCCCACAAATTTAGCAATGTTGTTGCTTGGCCTGCATCTTCTTGCCTTTGTGATGGCCTATTTAAAGCAACGTTGGCATAAAACCAGTAGTCTGGTTTTTGTTTTGTTTTTAGTTGGTCCTTTTGTTTCGCATTTTTTTTCAGTGGTTCGACTTTTCTGAGGCTGGGGCGGGGGTCACTTGTTCCCTTTTTTTTTGTCAAAGGCAGTATTTATTGCCTGGGTTCTGAAACCATGCTGAAACTTTTATTTGAGCGTTAATTATTTTTTACAAATTAACATCTTCCCATCGCAAAGTGCATCTTTGACGGCAGTCCCCGCTGCTACATGTACGTCCGACTTAGACTGACCAGCTAACCGCAGCAAGCTCAGGGGTCGAGTGATTAGGGGGTCAGTGCTAGTAAGCTGGAGGTTGTGGGTCCAAGTCCCACCCAAGTAAAGCTTGTGAAACTTTTTGTGAGCTCTCAGTAAAAACTGAGTGTACAGTGTGATTGATGTGAGGGCAAAACCCCAAATTGAAAATTAACATGTTCCAGTCGCAAAGTACATCTTTGGATATTATTTGTCATTTAAGTGCTTTATCGTACGCGTATTTGTAACTTGTACTGTGTATGCACAAACACGCAAAGACTAATCTGAGAAAACGCCGTAACTGCGGTGGCACTGCACTCGTATGTACCTTCTTCAGCTTATCACACATGTGCATTTGACAAATCACGACACCCTTCGCTTGCATGCCACCTGCCTGCAAGCGTTGCGCCACCGCTGTAATGGCTCCGAATTCCAGTTGTTATAGTTACACTATACATGCATATTTGGGGAATGCTGCAGATTGATACAAACTTGCACAGCTCTTCCCCTCTGCTGCCCCATTTAATCACAGCGAATTCATCATGGGAAACTTCATAATTTCATAGTGTACAAACCAGGCATCCCCTTCTGCTTTTAACCAAACTACACAGCATAAACATATTAATAAATTTATTGCTTTTCACTAAAGATGCTGGCACTGTGCATGCATACTTTGCATCTTGATGCC